GATGAGAACGGAGGAGGGGGCTCCCATCTGTCCCGAGGGGACATTCGCAGCAGGATATGCACTCGATTCTTGGGAGGTCTGGCGAATCGTGTGCCTCTCTCAGTTGTCCATTGAGGACGTGGAAGATTTGTGGATGTTTGGCCTGATGATCACTGGATTTCTTCTGATTGGAGTGGGAGGATATCTGGTTTTCTGGAAATTTGGGAATACGGGAGCTATTGGAGTGCGACCCGCGCCCATGGAATGTGCCGCTCGTGCGGTGACCTCACAGACTGGGACGTTACTCGAGGTGAACCGTAAGCTGGATAATGTCCTCATGACGTTGCCTGTGTTAGTGCGCAAGATGGATGTCATCTCGGAGAGGGTCGCCGGACGATGTGGGGATGTTTAGAACGAATAATTGGCTTCACTGGTGGACATGAATGACCACTTACAGACTCCAAGGCAGAGAGGAAAATTATCTCTGCCTGCCCCAAACAAAGTCATGTTTATCCTTATCTGACGCCAAGGCAGCCTCTCAAGGCTGCTTCAACACACCCCCACTAAAGGAGGAATGCTGACAGATGCTGTGTCCCGACCTTCCCCCCCTGCCTTCAGATTGTGACTTCTGCTCGAGGTCAGCGACCTGCGGGAAACTCAACGTGCTCTCTGTTCCTTATCTCTCCCTCCCACCTGTCTGTCTGCAGCTAGTTGATGCGCCGTACTGGCAGCTCCCGTTGGAGGCTTCAGGATCCCGCCCAACCCCGCCTCCCCATCGGACTCTGATGTTTTGTATCTGTGCTGTTTGTGCTTCTATGTTGAGGAGGTTTTTTTTTTTGTATAATAGAGTTACTCCCCGCTGGGTCTAATTCTGCTATGCCTTTTTTTTTACCTTACCCCCAATTATCCTCATGTAACTCCCTTTTCATCTATCTATTAAGGTAGCGCGACTCATGTTGCGAATGACCGCAGTCACCAATTCTTGTCATGTGTCTTACCCATGTATGTCTGATCTCTGAATTGTGTGCACTGAAACTCAATTTCGTTTCTCTGTATGTCTTGCACATGTGGTAGAAATGACAATAAAATGACTTTGACTTTGAAAACACAGTATCCAATTATATCGGACTTCATCAAAAAACTCCAATGTTAGCAGTACGTTTTGCTTTTACCCCATTCCAGCAATTCTATCCAGCAATGCCCAGATCCAGCATGAGAAGTCCACTTGATCAGAACAATGTGTGCTAGCAAAGTAGCGAGGAACAATGTGGACCATGTGAGTGTATTTGAAGTCCGAAAGTTTGGCTCAGTGCAGCACTTGTCATGCACAAGTTTTCCATGGTGGAACAGAACCGCGGAAGATTAATACGTCCAACCTCATCGTGCATTTGAAGCAGGCTCACAAAACATTGCATGAGGATTCCATTTTTAGTTCTTTTTCATAACACAGAAAAGGTTTTCTTTTACCTTGACCCCAACTCAACACACGAACAATAGAACATAGAAAGGAGTGCGAGAAAGAAACAAGTCAGACACACAAGAGCAGCAAAACAAGAAGCAGAAAGTACAGTAAAGAAGTCAGCCGTAACAGATCACTGCACAAGAGAAAACCACGTAATGGACTGAGACAACACAAGGATCATAAACACCGAACAACAGAAATACAAAAGATGGATAAAGGAAGCCAAGCTTAACAGAATCATTTGCACCTGCTAACTGTTCCTTTTCCTCATTATATCAACAAATGAAACAGAGCAAATGATGTACTGGAGCATACATGATCCACATGTTTTTAGGGCCTGAACTTTTTCTGTGTCACATCTGAAAGGAGTTTAACACATTTTCTGAAAGTTTCATTTTACCTGCAACAAAGCCAGAAACTCAACACTGGTAAAAATGAAGAATTGCATGTTTTCTGACACGCCTGCACCTGTTTTGTGAGGACAGCAATGCAGCAGCATGTTGCTTTTCCTCATGTGCTAAAATGTGATGCACCGAGCTTCAGCAGTAGTTATATGAACATTGCTAGTTTTTCCTGTAAATGTATACAAATCATAATTTAAAGGGGGACTTTTCATGCAAATTTTTGCATCCTTTTTTGTTGCCATACAGTTCTCTACCACCTCTGTAATTATTCAAAATGTGAATAAAAATATGTATCCACTTTCTGTCAGATTTTTGAGTCAGGAATCATATGCATATGAGACATTTGAAAAATCCCTTATTGTGACATCACATTAAGGACAATTATCATAAAATATGGAGGAGTAGCAGCTCTACTCCAAGCCCCTACCTCATATTCCAACTCCTGACTTCGTGGGAGCCAATCAGGGCATGCCAACAGCCCAAAAAGCTACTGAAACTGTCAAGAAGACAGAGCTGGAAACATTGCATATGAGAAGGATCGTGTGCAACGAACTTCAAAACATAATTTTGTAGACCATAGATCTATCAGAACGTGTTAAGGTAAGGCATAACATGTCCTCTTTAAATGTGAGATAACTGCACCAGAGCAGATGCACTGCTTACCTCGTGGCACAGTTAGAATCTCATGTTTTCCTTTGTGAACTACCAGATTTGTTCTGACAAAAACCCACATAATCGTGATAAATATGAGCCTCTGATTGACTGCAGTCAGGTTGAGTTGTATCTGCTTGAGGACAAGTCTGAAGAAGTCCCCAATTTCTTCTATAGCATGATGATGGATGAGATAGAGCTTTAGATCACAAAAAAGAAAAGCTTTTTACAAATTTATCAGTTTTTGAGGCAAAAGATGATGCATTAAAGAGGTCCTTCACTGAGAAACCATGGTTGGTCACTCTAAGTCTTTCATGCAGGCTGGACATAAAATAGTATAAACATATTTGCTGCATTAGTTTCTGATAGAAAATAGACGGAAAAACGCCTGGTTCACATAGATTCCACGTCACACTGTCACTTAACATTCATGGACTCAACCATCTTGACTCACAACAGGGAAGGCTGTTCTTGAGTTAGCGTTCAGGAAACAGCAACGTCTCGATTAGTATTAGCTAACTGTTAGCATTAGCAACTCCACCACAGGGCAGAACTCCTTCAGGCGTGTGTTATTTGTGGAGATAAAACAGCAACGTTGCAGAGCAAACAGAGTCAGTGGTAGAGTCACGTTGCTGTTATCCAATCAGAGGCGAGACGTCCAAATATCAGGGAAAAAAAGTCCTCATTCTGTCATCTGAAGACACTTTCTCCTTCAGCTGACTCCTCTGTGCTGAAACAGGCGCACCAGAGCTTTTTGTCCTCAGAATTCATTCCTACTCTAGACCACCGTATTGAAAGTGTGGGTGAAGGATCATTTTAATGAAACTGATGAGCAACAAGTTGTATTAATCTTGTCCAACTTTGGCACATGTGACTTTAAAATATCTTACCTTACTCAAAGGGGATTTTTCCCAGCAGGAAGGAGGAACAATGATTCAAATACCAACCCAGCCTCAGTGGGAAAATATGGGTTCCAGGGAAATAGGTTCATTACATGAGGGAATATAAAATATGGGAAATAACAGTATTTATCACTGGAAATGAGTGTTTGGAAGTCAGCACAGTTGGCATGCTGAGTACAGTTTTGCTGTGCTTCTGAAGAATCTGAGGAATGCTTTTACTCTGCAGGCCATCGGGCTGACTCTCACAAACTCGCGTAAGAACTGGACAAAGCACTGCAGCTTGTTTAAATTAGTTTGTTGAACAGATGTGGAACACCATCCCAAATGAAGACTAGCAAAAACACAAGACATCCTTTTAAACACACAGTGGCACATGGGAAAGGAAGCAAGCGCCTTTATTTATGCCCTAATAGAGTTTTGTATGAGCTGTCCTTGGTATCATTCTGTGTGTGTGTGTGTGTGTGTGTGTGTGTGTGTGTGTGTGCGTGCGTGCGTGCGTGCGTGCGTGCGTGCGTGCGTGCGTGCGTGCGTGCGTGCGTGTGTGTGTGTGTGTGTGTGTGTGTGTGTGTGTGTGTGTGTGTGTGTGTGAGTGTGTGTTCTGTTCACACACGCTCGTGCACACACAGACACACACACACACCCACACACATTCATTCAGACCAAAGATCCAAAAGTCTCATAAAAATGATTACCTGACGACGAAGAAACATGAAATGACAGATTAACTGGTGCTAACGTCTCCTAATCCCTTAAAGCTCCCCTTCACTCGTTTTTTAAAAACATTTGCCGTGGTCTCTAGTCTGAATGAATGCCTTGTGAGTCTTTTTCAGTGGGAAAAATAGCTCTGGCGCTCCTGTTTCGGGAAGTAAAATTTTGCCGGAGACGAGGGGGTCGGATAACCACAGAATTTGGAGTCTCACTCAATATTTTTTATGATATTAGGACGTCTCTCCTCTGACTGGCTAACAGCAGTGCAACTCTTCCACTGACTTCATTTGCTTTGCAACGTTGATGATTTATCTCCACAAATAACACAAGGAGTTCTTCTGTGCTGTAGAGTCGCTAATGCTAGCTGCTAGCTTGTACTAGCTGAAGCGTGCTCTGCTCTCTCCTGGATGCTAAATCAACAACTGCCTTCCCCGTTAAGAGCAAAGATAGGTGAGTCCATGAATGTAAATTTTACAGCGTGACGTAGATCTTTCTGGCTTTTACTGATCCGAGCATTAACCCATCTATTTTCTATTTTCTTTTAGCAGCGAATGCAGGAAATAGGGGTAGAAGACCATTTTCATGCTTAACCTGCATGTGAAACTTGCATGTTGTAACCTCCAATATGTATCTGATCCCTCACTGCTTACAACGAGCCTCAAAACTGACAATGACAAAGACAGTTAAAGTGCCTAAGCTTGGAAAACCAATTAAAAGTATTTGATCAAAGATGGAGGAATGCATTTGTAAGACATTTCTAGACTAGTGTGGAGATGTAATTTTAATTTATCCATAAAAGAAATAAATTAAAATCAGACAATCAATGGAATAAACCAGCAGGACTGTTAAAGGTTGGCCCCATAGCAGCTGGTGATGTTAGATTTCCTGTCTTACCTTGTTCTGGTCAGACCAATACAGGAAGTAACCTTTGGGGTCAACGGTTAGGTTCACAGGGGTCACAGTTGTAGAATCCTGTGGTTGAAGAGAAAAAAAAGACATCAGGCATGAATGTTCTGGTGTTAAAGAGCATCTGTCTCTCTATATGTTTGTCTTGGTAACACTTTACAATAAGGGTTATTTATTAATGTTACTTAGTGCAATATTAACCATTAATAAGCAAAGGATCCCTCTATAATTAATGATATTGTTAACTGTTAAGTGTTCTTAAGGTAAGGACAAAGGGCCAAGGTGTGTGTGTCTGCTTAGTAATGCAATACTTTATATTAAAATGAACATTAAGCAGTTAATAATACTATATTTATTAGTTTAATCTTGCTTAAAGTGACAATTTGTGGTTTCTAATGGTTAATCTCTGGAAATATCCATAAAAATGCTGTTGAAAATAAATAAACGATGCCCAGTTGTTGAAAAATATTGGCGACTTCGTAACATATGACCATAAAAATTGGGTCTAAAAACCATGGTAGCAAGTCTAATCTCCAGGCGACACCATGTTAGACACCATGTTTCCTTCTACGGGAGCCCATGAGGATAAAATGCGTTAACTGATTTGTAAGAAATGGTTACAGAATTTTAATAAACATCGTTGTTTTACACATTTACCTCTTCACATGTTGCCAGTGATGAAAGGAGTCTGACGTGTGTCATTTTGCTGGAGACTTCGCTCCCAGGGATTTTTGACCCTATTGGCCATCCGTTGTTAAGGTCCTACTTGAACACAAAAATACTGCTTGTTTGCACATGTGTACAGCCCCGTGTCGCCAGGGGAAATACTCATCATCACTTCAATAAGGCACTAAGTAGCGTTAATAAAGTGTAACGGAATGAAATGACTGTTTTCCACCGAAAAGTCAATTCCCCCCTCTCCTCAGCAAGAACTAATCTGCATGAGATATTGCCTCAAGGTCTCATGCATTTGCTTCTAAACTGTTTTCCTTTCCAGCCCAAGAGAAGAATGAAGACAAATGACTTTCTTTTTAATAAATCAAAGAACTCTATTTTTAATAAAGCTAATCAGACAAAGTGTAAGTCCAATAATAATGTTGACCATCTGTGAAATGACAATGTTATGATTAGTAAGTTTTAATAAGTAATATGACTTTAATCCAGCTGCACTCGACATCCTGATCACACGTAATGTAAACGCATGACACATTGCTTTTACTCATCCAATCGTAACCTTCCTTTCTGAAGCGTGGCATAGTCTCTGTGGTGTTTATAAATCTGCCCAACTTTGATTCGACCGTAAATCAAAACATCCAGATTAATAAAACCAGTCCCCACGCCATCTTAGATCAGTTCACTGCAGTTCTAAGCGAAGTATTGGACCGGCCACCCGGACTTCCTTTTTAAGCAAAGAACCAACAAGCTGGATAAAATCTGTTGCATTTTACCAACCAAGCAAGGGTTCCTTTCAGAATAAAAGCTGAACTCACTGACCCTCTGGATCCATCTGACGCTGTCAACCAACTGTTGCTTTTTACCTGGTGACAATCCAAAGACTAGTCTGTCGTACTGCAGACGCTGTTTCATCGGCTCCAGTACCGAAAGGGGGGTCCGAGGACCTGGCATTCTGGATCTGTACGGAGGTCTCATCCTGAAGGGTATGTGTGGAGGGACAACATGGCGTCTCATGTGCTTATGAAACTCTGATCATAGCTTAAGAGCAAAACATCACTTCATCACTCAGACTTACTTCTCCGGATACGAGAGTTCTGATTACAACATCTCTCACACACACACCATTCATCTCACGTCTCATTCACACCAAGATCCATTCATCACTTAGAGTTTAGAGTTATTCTTGTTTAAAATTGTTTAGAAATAAATCTTCTTAAACGTTTTAAAGGTGACTCTCTCTTCTCTTGTCTCTCAGTTAATACGAAGTGTTACATAATCCCTGCAATAAAAAGTTCCAATCTTCTGGTTAAAAGTACCAAAAGATCCATGAGATTGATTTCATATTTACTATGGAATCGCATGTCTTATGGTTCATTAAATAGATGCAAATTAAACCTTACAAAAGGGACCCTTGTTGTAAAGTGTTATTTTTGTCTTTTAGGCCGAATGTGTTCCAGTAAAACCAATAAATTCCTCTGTTGGCATCAAACCATCACTTTTTTTAGTTTTACCAACCTTCCTGAATCTGAAAAAACATCAATGTATTGTTTGAGTTACAACTTCTGTCCCTTATAGGCTACTTTCCAACACCATAAAGCATCCGGATAAAATGACCAAGGGTTGTGTTTCTGTGTGTGTGCGTGTGTGTGAGTATATTTGTAGCAATCATAGCTGCAGGTTATTTGGTTGCTGAGGTTTCAGTTTTCCCCTTCTTGTAACGACAAATGTCTTCCCACAGTTTCTACATACAGACGGTTCCAAGCTTCACCCACAGATTGACCCTGAAGCCCACATGGCAACGCCAGATATTATTGGTGCTGCTATTAAAAGAAAAAGCCTTTCCATTTTTCTCTGTGTCCATGGTGGCGGTGGCTCGGCTGAACAGTAGTGTATTGTCCTCTTCAATCAACCAAGATCAGAGAAATGGAAACCGCATTTGCTGCTCTGAGCAACCAAATCTTCAAAGTGTCTTCATGAGGCTACTAATGATGTCCCTATCAGAGCATTTGGAGGGAGGGCTAATGGCCTGCTACCCACAACATGTCCCAGTGTGCCCCTGTGTGCAGGAAATCATGAAAGGCTTGAACTGGGAGCTGATGGACAGCAGACTACACTGAAGTGCAATTAATGATTATAATGAATTTTATTTTGGCCAAAACAATCAGGGTTTATGGGAAATTAAACAAATGCTTCAAACAGGCCAACGCTGTAATCCGTAAAGATGGTTGAAAGGTAAAAAAAAGAAAAGAAAAGAAAAGAAAAGAAAAGAAAGAGGCAAATTGAAAGCAAACGAGCAGAAATTTAATGACATGTTCAGTGTTGGAAATAGTTTAATGATCATCCGAGACATTCGCTATGGCAACCCATCATTCCCATGAAATCTATTAGACGCTCAGAAGGAACCATCATGGCTGTGTTCACATGGCTGCACAGTGTTTGCAGGCTTGACTGAATGACAAAAAGATGCAGCTCATCCCTATGAATGCATCAGGAACAAACATATCGTTCATCTTCTGGGAGGAGGGGGGATTTGGACCTTTAGATTTGGTGAAGACGGGTTCAAACTGGACATCAGAGCAATAAAGAAAAGGAATTTATGTGACTTTGGCTATGTTTCTATTGGTGACGGTGTATCAGAACTTACTAATCTACTGGGATTTTCATCCTAAACCATCATTACGGTTTTATGAAAATGGTCTTAGAATGAGAAAACATCCAGTGAGCAGCAATCGTCTGGAAAAGAATGTCTTGTAAATGTCAGCAGATAATGTTCAGACTGATTAAAGACTATAGAAACCAACAGCAGCTCAAATAACCACTGGTTCCTACCAGAACCAGTGTCTGCAGAACATCATTGCTGAACCACAACCTGAACATGAATCTTGAAGGCATCCTATGCAACTTTTTCATATATTTAAATGCTTGTTTTGAGCAAATGTGTGCTAAAATGACCCATTACAGGGTTAATTCAGTTCAATTCAATTCAAATTCATGAATACTTTGTTAATCCCAGAGGGAAATTAGAGTTTCAGTACACACAATTCTGAGATCAGACATACATACATAGACACATGACAAGAATTGGTGACTGTGGTCATTCACAACCCGAGTCGCGCTACCGTAATAGATCAAGAGGGTTTATATGAGGATTGAGTCCGGGGGGAGGGAAAAAAGGCACTTCAGAGTTACCCTCAATAGAGAGGGTAGCTTTGCTATGCAAAAAAAACCACCACCTCAGACAGATATGCACACAGACTTCAGACGATACACAACATAAGTGTCCACTAGGTGGGGAGGTAGGGTTGGGACTCTCCTCACTTCAGTGCGTGCAGCCACATGGGGAAGCGCTCATCACCTCCGTTTGGACAGGGGAGGGAGATAATGGGTTAAAGAGCACATTGACTCCTAGATACGGTTCCATGGCCTTCACCGGTCACAGTCCCGTCCAGGCTGGGATAGGGAGAATGAGTTTCCATAGCGACGGCAGCATTTCACATTTCTTCTGAGGGGGGAGTTTTCACTTCAGCCTCACAGGCTCCAAGGGCACCAGATTCAGACAAGAAATGTTTTGGGGACAGACAGAGATAATTTCCTCTCTGCCTTAGTGTTCTGTTGGTCTTCAACCCCTCTAGATCCAATAATGGCGTAATTAACCCTTTGATGCATAATGGTCACTACAGTGGACAGGTACTTAAAAGTGTTATTTATTTATTTTTGCTATTAAGCACAGCTGTTGAAGACTTTATTGCATTTGAGCACCTCCATTTGTACTTCAGTAAGTCAAGCCAACATATTTCATGTTCAGATTGCACAATGTCCACTGAGGTGGACATGTAATAAATTATTTGTAAATTAAATTTGACAAAAAATATGTAAATATGAAATTTGTTACATTCACACCTAAAGATTAATGAAAAAAAATGTTAAAAAAATCATGGTTGAAGATTTTATAATTCATGCATCAAAGGGTTAATCTATCCCAATCCGTGCTAATCCGTCAACTCGCTCCTTGATGGAATCCACCTTCTGTACCACAGCCTGAATCTCAGCCAAAGTTCCAAGCTTACGACTCATCTCGACAATTAAATGAGTTTGTGCGTTCACAGCACAATGCATTCCATCCCCAAGCTCCGGGATTGAGGTAAGATTCCTCGAAAGCTCGTTAATTTTCCAGTAAGCCAGGTAACCGCTCAGGCCAAACAGCAGGAATCCCGACACCAACACCACGAATATCCAGACATCTTCTGAATCCTCTACAGACAGTTGAGAGAGGCAGATCATGTTCCGCTGTTTCCAGGAGTCCATGATATACCCAGCTGGCTCTGGGTCTTATTTTCAAGACAAGACAGGACAAAGAGCCTTGGGATGAGGAGGGAGGGAGAGGAGAAAGA